CAAGTGTAGTTCTCAAGCATCAGTATGAATAATAGTTGACTGCATGGTCTCCTTGACATTTCGAGGGCTTTTTGCATTCTCTCAAGTGCAGCTGTTCCTCTTTGGGGGTACAAATGGACTCAGATTAGCCTATGCTTGGCTCTGCTGCCATGACTAGGTTGACACCTGTTACCTGAGCTGGCTAACTGAAAGCTAGGTTGGAAATCTTTAAGCCTGTATGTGGTTACTTTTTCAATCAAAGAGCTTGAATTAAGATCTGTGCTAAATATATACTGCCAAAAGCTGATAATTACCAAAGCAGTACAAGAAAGGAGAGCAAAGTGAACTCTTGTAATCTATGAATTGCTCCTGGGCTGATATATGGGCAGATGTGATACATTCTACTATTTTGCAGTCATTTTTATTGGAATCTTCTGATCAGAGTTGATTTTAAGCTCTTACATGGAGCAGTCTCACTTGCCATGGAGGAATAAATAGGGTGGGCCCTGCCTTGTTAATAAATTGCCCCACTAAGGCCCAAAGCATTTAGCACACTTTCTTATGTGATTAATTAATATTCCATGAAATTGCAACTTCCTTGTGCAAGAGACCCTCCACTACAGCAACTCTCCATTCAACTTGAATTAAAAGTCAGTTATCTCTTTTGTTGGATTATGAAGTCATAGGACCAAAGAAGAGTAAGAAAGTAAAATATTTCTCTATAGCTAAAATGTGAGCTCTTTTGATAGTTATGATATTCAACTTGATAAATAATTAAAAGTGTAATTTAAATAGCTTTACTTGAAAGGCAGAATAAATTTGCATCAATATAATGGGTGAGATGACTGTTGTTACACTGTATATCAGTATAATTAGTTTAATTATAATTAAGCTATAGTTACATTAATTATATTTTTAACCTTGATTTTTTATGATGTTAATTGAGCATTAGTATGCACTGCATTGAATGTGCAGTTATAAGCACAATGGAATGTCTAACTACTTTTGCAGTTTGTAGATATATATTTCATTTTGACTAATTAATGGAATTTTTCTCTTTACTGAAGCCATTTTGAGTACCTTATATATCATTGCTTTTATTTTAACTGCTCTCATGCAAAAAAAAAAAAAACTGAAGGTAAGTATGCAGCAGAGTCAATAGTAAAACAAATTTTTAAAAACAGCCAAAAGACAGATATTAGTGAAGGTACTGAGCTGTTGCTAGGAAGTTGATGCCTCTGAATGTCAAGCCACAGCTACCTAGGCTGTGCTGCAGGTAACCACTGTAACAAATAGGGACCAAATCTCTCTGTATTAACCTGTCTCTCAGAAACCACCTGCCCAATTCACATGAGGAGGAGGAGCAGGTATTATCCAAGATTGTTCCACTGTTTCTAGTGTAGTGTTTCCCAGTGTCAGCAAAGCCTTTGTCGCTGGAGTGACCCTATCGTGGCTGGCATCAGATTTCAGAGGTACTGAAACACACAACAGAAATGGTTTGAAGAAAAAGGTCTTAAAATGATTATAAAGGAAAAGCTCTGAATCTAAAATTTATCCTTGCTGAGGTTACTAAGAATACTTTGCCTTGCAAGGCTCTAATTTGCTTTCTGCAGTTGTCCGAATCTTTGCAAGATGAGAACTCTGATCTAACAGAAGTCTCCCTGTGTCCTGGATGATTTTGAAAAATGCTTTGCACTGAAGTATCATCACTCTCCCTGGATAAAAAGAGTACTAAAGCATTTAGGCAGGGGAGGAGATATAAATTTTTCCACATTTCAAGTGACAGACTCAGCTACTCTTCTTAATGATGACATTCTACTGACCTTTTCAAATAGTGAAGCAAAAATATAATATTGCAATTTTAAATTTGCATTCAACATAGGAAGTGTTCTCAACATATTCTGTTCGTTCCATCAGTTTGGCTTTACAAGAAAAAATTAGTGGTAAATGGAGAGACTAAGCATGACAATGTGGCCCAAAAATTAAGTCATCACTAGGAAGGAGAAGACTGATGTTCTATTTCAGTCCCAATGTCTTAACTAGATCAGAACATGTAACTGGTTCTCTACAGAATTTAAATATAACTATTACTCAGTGTTTTAATGATGACACAGAAAGTCTTGTTTCAGTAAAAAATACCTCTTTTCCTGCATATGCTTTTTACCTATTGTACTGGCATTTATTATGACTGCTGCTGTATTCAGTTACTACAGACAAAAAGACTGAGAGGTTGGAATCTGTAATGATATATTCTTTCTCTCTCTATTCATAAAACAAATAGTTTCTTTTTTTTTCCTGTCTCTCGTTGTTTACATGAATGGCCTAATGAGAAATGCTAGTAGGCTGGTAATAAAAGGGCAGAAAAGACATCTGTTTTTCTCTAGCTTGAGGAAAAAAAAAATCATATTGTTGCTGTATATTAATTGATCTTTGAGGAAAATGTAATATGTAGTTGTACTTTGATTCCAATGAAATAATACATTAAGTTGTTTCTTAAAGAGGAGGAAGAGCATAAACAGTATAATAAATACCAATAATTTTATTTTAAGTGAACCACCATGTCATGACAAGATTTTTTTTTCCTCTTATAATACCACAAGTACTTGAAAAGTTCATTTTACCTATGCACATGAAAATTAGATTTGAAAGATTAACTGAATTCTAAGGAAAATTACTTTTCAGAGATGAGTGCAGGTTCCTTTCCCAAGGTATGTACTGTGGTTTAAAATTATACTGTGTTTTTCTTCCATCAGTTCAGTCTTCAGCAAAACCTTAGGACTTGGAAAAACAGAACTGAAGGCTTATATCCAGCCTTTTTGATTTGGAAATCTGCTCAGTGATACTGCTGAGGGAAGAATAGATGTTGTACTATGTAATCTTCATATGGCTTTTTTTTTCTGATCAGATTTTCTGTTTTATAGCAGATACACAGTCATCTAGAGATGGAGGAGAAAAATAGTTCTGTGAACTAATTTGTGAATATATTAGAATTTCTTTATTAATAGGAACTTGTAAGTGTTCAAGGTCAGCACTAATGGATATAGTTGCAAAATAAGGACCAAATGAAAAGGAATATTAAACAATCCGTTCTTGCTATCCTCTTTCTTTATGGAAGCTGAAGGTCCCTGGATGGGGTTTTGTGTGCTTTGTATGAAGCCCAATGCTGACATGATATCCATACAATTAGCATTCAGTACCCTGAAGTATTTTGTTTTCTGATGCAAACTGAGTGACTGTTGCCTAAGATATTTTTATCTAAAGAAGATGGCAGGGTTTTTTTGTAGTCGTGCTTGCTTATTTTCTGTTCTTCATGGTGTAGACTCATTCCAGATTAGATGCATTAGATGCAGATTAATGCAGTTATTGGGTTCACGCTGAGTAAATGTTGCAGAGATTATGCTGCATATGAGTTGTTCCTCTGTGACTGAATTTGGCATTTTACCAAAAGCCCAAACTTATTTCTCTGAAGAGAGTAGCTGCACCAAAAGGAAGTCTTATTACAGTGCCTGAATCTTCCCACTATCATAAACCTAAATAGATATCTCTCTAAAGCAGGACGTACGTAGTTTTGCACTATACATAACATGTTTCATCATGTTAGAGTTCATAAAAGAAAATATCCACTCCTCCTTACTGGTTTTCCAAAGAATCTACATGAATAAATCCATCCCTTATATTGAAGATGGCTTTAAAAACTCATTTAATTTGATTTATGTATGGCTGGAGAATTAACTGGAGAAAAAAAATATTGCTAAACTTTGTTTAAAATAACCCCTAAGTGGATATAAATTGATGAGGAAGTATACTTCTGGCATCCTCTCCCTCCACTCCCTAAGCTTTTTCTTTTTTGCTAGGTCTTTGTGTAGAGACATGTCCACAGGCAGTTAACTTCCTTTGGCACTGTCCAAACCCTCAAAGGTACTAAAATTTTATATCCTTGCCTTTAAGAGCAGAGGCCCATTCTAATTAGTCTCCGGCAAGGTTCATCACATCATGGTAATCTGCCTTTTGACAGCATTTAAAATATGTTTTGATGTTGTGGTTCATCATGTAAAATACAGAGTTTATATTTTCTTTTTCTACTTGGACCCCTGAGTCTTTTTAAGGAACAGGATATATATATTTATATTTATACAAGTGCTGGTATTAGTAGGCCCTGACATTTATTTTGTCTAAATTAAGCATGTATTTATTTCTGTCACTCAGAAACCACATCTTCATGAGAGTGAAATCATTCTGTAATTCAGAACATTTAATATTTGTTTTCTTTCAAAGCTCAGTTTTTTTATTATCTTATTTTCGACAGGCCTTTTCTATAAATCTGCATCACTTGAATGTTGGTGTAGATGTTGAAATAAATAAGATAGATAGATTTAGTATCATTATGGTTAATGAGACACCCTTGCAATCAAGCTTGCTTCTTAGCAATGAATGCAATTTCTAGGCAAGCTTTACAGCTACAAAGGGATGACCAAAGTCGTCTCCGAATGATTTTCTGTTTTTTTTTCCTGGGTTGCTTTTAAAAACACTAAACTTTAACATTCTGTGTTTCGTTTTACTTTTGCTCTTTAGAGAAGGTGTGTGTGTATATGTGTTTATAGATGCATAAACACAGACACATTTCTTTGTCTTGTGACGATGCCTTTGATATTGAGTGCAGTGCGCACAGTCTGGTTTTGAAATATGTTGCTGTAGAGCAAGGTCTGCCAAAGACATGGGCCTGGAGTTAAGTCTGGTAAGAAGAAATTTTCATAGATCTGGCCTCCTTTAGTGTTGATCTCTTCACCATGATGCACATACCTCTAGGAAAGTAAAGTTTGGGTGTTGGTATTAACCTGAGAGAGAAAGGGACAAAAGGTACAGGAAGGCTGTTGGCACTACTGTGATAAAAGATGAGAAGATTCAAACCTTTTTACCTTAGAGTTGAAGGTGAATGTCTTGAAGAGACTCCACCCCAAGGGTGAAAACCAGGACTATATTTTTTTTTATTTTTTTAAGTCTTTTGCTTTTTCTTTAACCAGGTCTGAAATGGATATACAGTCTGCTAGCTCTGAAGGCATTCTCGTTGGTTACTGCCCACAGCAAGATGCTCTGGATGAGCTGCTGACTGGTCGGGAGCATCTTCATTATTACTGCACCTTGCGTGGAATTCCAAAACAATATATCCACAAGGTAACTATTACTTCTTCTTAAACAGTATGGAATTTTTCCCCCCATTACACCAGTTTAAAACACAGTAACATTGCTGAGAATAAGAGAACTACTTGAATGTGAATATAGTCTTGGGCATATAAGCTCTCAAGGAATATTAAGAGTTCCTTGCACACAGCATAGCATCACTGAGCTGGACCAGTCCGCATCCCAAGTCATGCACCTCTGAAAACCTCTTTTTTTCAGCAGACAGGATTTAACTCTGAAGGAAATCTGTTGCACAGCAGTCCCTAGAACCTTCTAGTTACCTTGTTAGACCTGAGGTTGTTCAAGAAGAGCATGTCAAACCCTTGTCAGGAAATGTTTTATCAGCTTGCTAATATAGATTATTACAATATCTGGGAATATCATGGGAAGTATTTTAATTTAGTGATACAGTTATAGCTTGTTACAGACTATCTCGCAGGCACAGCTCTTTATCCATAAATAGCCAGTCACTCAGACAATATCAGAAATGAAGTTATGCACAGACTTTCTTCCATGGGGGCATAGTGTAAAACATGTTTGTCTCTACAGGTGAAAGCTTCTGATCTTGCCTCGACTCAGGCAGTTCAGTCCGTTGTGTTTAATTACATTTTTATTAGCATGTGAGAACTGGATTATGGTATCAAATCAGTGTCATAATTTCCCATTTCTGCTGAGTTGGTTGCGTGTACCTGAGCCTAGATCATCCTTGACACTTCCAGAATGTTGCCTGCCTTCTTCCTGTGGCAGCTTTTTCCAGAACCCATGGAACTGGAGTGTCTTCTACTCTAGCTAGAAGATCGTTGTCCTAGCTATTGCTTTGTGGCCTGCTAAGTGGTTTAAAGTCAGCTCTTTGTCTGTGTGTCAGAGGGGATGTTGTTCTTTTGGTTAGTACTTTCCGCAGCTAGGTGCTATTGCAGAAAAAGATGTTTTTCCTGCCCTGAATCTCTGAGTATTCAAAAACAGTCAGCTTCCATCTTGCCCTAATTAGCAGCATGATGTTAAGCAATATGTTGAATGTGATTGCTCCCAAGGTGATCAGCTGAGTGATCCTGAATCAGAGGTTTGTCCCGATCCACTGTTGGAGGAGGTTTCAATATGATCCCGAGAGCGAGATTAAGACACAAACGGGGTCAAATGCCATATAACCTCGTTAGGTTGATTCTCATAAGCGTGATAGGACAGAGAGAAGAAGAAGAAGAGAAAAAGAAAGATAAGCAAGCAAGCGGGAGAGATGCAACAAGTTTATAGCTACCACCAGGAGCAGTCCAACTAGGTTTCGTTGTCTCCGTCTCCGTGCAGGTCCCTTGGAGCCACAGAACAGGTGATGTTCTGGGGCAGAAGGTGCACATGCCGGTGCAGGTGATGTTCCAGGGTGGGGGGAAGAAGGCCGTGCACCCCAGGGGAGGAATACGTAGCCCTTTAATGTCCCTCTTCTCAAAGAGTCAGCCCTCTTTCTTGAAGATTTCTGGTATGTGTTCCTCTTCACCCAATTTGAATGCAAGCTGCTCTGGTGGGCACTGCTGAGATTGTCATTGTTCAGGTCTCCAGCTGATCTTCCCAGACACAGCATGCAAGTGCCAGGTAGACAGCTGGTATTACAGCCTTCCCAGAGACAGGATGCTGGGGTTGAGAAGTGTAAATGGTGAGAGTCTTGAGCTGATCTTCCCAGAGGCAAGATGCCAAGGCATTTTTCAGGTAAATGGTGGGGCAACAATGTCCAATCTCTTACGAGGCTGAGGGAGATTAAAGATTCTTCCAAGACTTTGCTCCCTCCTTTGGGCAGCATGCTTAATAGATCCTGGCTGAATGTGAGTTTATTGCCTTGCCAAAACACTTCTTGCTGTCTGCTTAGATTTTCTTAACTCATTTTGATATTTTTTTGCTCCTAGTACTAGCAAAGTACTTCAAACTTGAACATATTTCATTTGACATAAAAAAATATTGTTATAATTGTTATTGCGCTAAACTCCTCAACTGTAATTACCTGTCATCTCCATAAACTGAAAACTCCTCTACAGTTGGGCTAAAAGCCCATCATAACTGGCATCTATTTTCGTAGTGCTTTAACAGGCACATAGGTGGCAACAGATTCTGGCTTCTGTCCCAGAACTGTGTAGTCATTCTAAAGAATGCACTTAGCTATCCATACATCTTCCAAAAGTTATTGAATACTTCTCATTCTAAGTGAAATTTAAAGCAGGAAATTGAAGTTTGATTATTTAATTATGCAGCGGTGCTCCTAAAATGGTGTTGATTTGACTCTTAAGCTTTTTCTGTCTTACTATTTTCATAACAAAGGACAAAATATTGTTACAATGTGTGTATTGAAATGGTACACCATTCCTATAAATGCAGCATTTTTTAAGACAGTGTAGGAAGAATGTAAGGTTTGGAAGAATCTAAATTATATAAGTACATAGCTCTAATTAAAATTCAGAGTATCCCCTTAACTCATCAGTGCTGGTGGGTCATATACAGTACAGTGTTGCTCTTTCAGCAAGCTGACTCATGGGTACCAGGTAGACAGGCTCTTCTTTTGTGAATAGATTGAGGCACATAAATTTGAGGATATGATGATCCTCAGAGAGAAATGAGTAGGAAAGAGACCTGGGAGGCTAAGGAGGACCTCCCCACAGTTCAGAGAAAAGCTTGCTTGAAGAGTAAGAATTTTTATAGCCAACTGGCATCTGCCAAGAGGGTTGACTGAGTAAGAGCCAAATAAGGGCTTTTAGTACTGGGCTGCTTTTGTGACTCCCGGAGTCAGGGGTTCTTAGCAATTCTTTTATTTTAGTACCCACAGCTGTGAGTGTAATCTGTTAAGGTGGTTCTGGCAGACACCTTTTTATTGATAATTCCTGATCTGTGGACAAAAGGAGACAGTAGCTTTGATAAGTGTGAACTGACCCATGCATTGCAATATGCTATTAATTCTTTAATGTTATATTCCAAGCAGGCCTTGTCAACACAACATAATAGAGTGTGTGTGTGCACGCACATGAATCTTGCTGTTATTGCTTACTTTGTGACTCTTTCAGATCATTTGGCTGCCCAGCAACAACTCCTTTGGAGACAGCTTTGCTGTCTGGATGAGGAGCAGGATGTAGAATCCTGAAAATGGGGATAGATATATGGTGTGCTTAAGGACCTAGATTTCATAAATTTAGTACTACATGGGAGAGGTAATTTATCTCAGGAGTCTGAGATAAAAAGTCAGATTGCAGTGAGCAGGATGATACCAATAGATTTGTATGCTGTGCCTGCAGGGTTTTTCTCTGCATGTGCATATGTAAATGAAAACAATTGTAAATGCAGTCTGCTGTCTGTGTTTGGTAAGGAGCCACATGGTTACCCTGGCTTCACTACTAGTGAGAATTTTGCTCTCTGTGAAATAAATGACATTCATAAAACCCACTTCAAATATGTACGTATATATGAATAACTGGTGTACCTAAGAGCTTCTACTTTATATTCAGGTCCTGCTATTTTCTGGGTAACTTGTATACAGATACAGCCATGGCTGTTCCCAAAGCCATTGAGAGAATAGTTCCTCAAATAGTGCAGGAATTCACATACCGCTTCTGCTTCAAATAGATCAAAATCAGTTTGTTGTTACACAGAGATTAGTTATGTTACTGCAGTGCACTGAGAGAGGACAGCTGTTAATCTTCTGATTATCCCAAACCTAAGACAATTTAGGTACTTTTACTACTGTAATATTGAGATCACTATTCCTTTCAGTCATCATATTATTTTTGTCTTGATAGACTGCAGGCAGACTTTCCAGGCTTTCACTCAAGGTATTGAAGGACTTCTGCAAATAAAATTTAGTGATTCTGGTTTGACTTCATCAAAAACTGAAATGAAGCTATCTCTGAGCAGGACAAGTGTTTTTGTCAGCGAGCCCTTCCTGTTGTGTGGTATTGCTGTGACGTGTTGAACAGCTGCTATGTATCAACTCACAAATGGCTGATACCTGGAGAAAGTCTGTGTTTTAGTTGCCTATAAAGAAAATAAGGCCTAGGAATACATAGCAGCAGCTGAAAGGAAATGCAAGCTATTATTTTCTCATTCCCTCCTGTCTATGATGTGATGTTCCCAGCCTTTCTCTGAGAGCTTATCAGTAAGTCCCTATGTTAGTATGAGTGTATAGATATATTTTAGGGAGTATGTGGTTTTAATTCCAAAGTAGAGAGCAGTATCTCTCTCCTTTTTTTTTTTCTTAATAAATTGGCCAGCAGGCAGGTGACTTGCAGGATGTGTTGCTGCTGAAGAAGTCTATTGAAGCACTAACTACAAGGATCAAATCTGTTAAGCAGACTTAGCAGGAGTTAAGTGTCTGACATAAAGTAGAGTGCACTTATAGTTCCAAAACAGTAATTAACTGAATGGGAAAGGAGGAGAAAAAGGAGTCATTTGCAAATGCGTCAATGTTAAACTTCATGCAATGCAAAGTTATACTTTATTTTTCAAAGCTGCTCTAAAAGTAGCTTTTTGCTGCGCAACTGTGGGCTATTTAGGCAGATACTAGATTAACAATATTTTAAAATGTTTTCTATTTAATACATAAAGTTTCAATATCTCAATTTGTTACAAAATATATGATATGATTTATTATCAATGTAAAAAAACTAATACAGCTATATTTGGTGTCTCCCACCCATGTTTAACTTATTTATACATTGCATATGTCAAACCAAACATTATCAACCCTAAAGGCAACTTCTTGCAATGTGAGTATGACTTCTCTTTTTCTTAAATTCATTCTGCAGATTGAATTGTTACTGCAGATTTTTGCACTAACTTTGGAATCCCCTTAATTTTCTTACATGCTACATTTTATAGCCACTGGAAACAGGAACTTGCTATAAAAATTATGTAGTCTTTGGTAGAAAGGGGTTTGCCTTCTTGGGGCCTGGGAAGAATTTGGGTATAGAGTTTTATAAGACTGTGAGATAAAGAAAAGTTTTCCCTAGGACTTTGGCCATGAGCTGTATGTTTTTCCTAAACATAAGAAATCCAACATTTCTAGGTGTAATCTGAAGCAGAATTAATACTGTTTTGTGTGCATCTGATGAATGTTTTTTATTTAGGATATTAAATTTGTACAACAAGCCTGCACAGAACTTGAAATTTTAACCTCTGTTTTGAAAAAGTGCAACTCATCTCTGAGTTATTTTCAGGAGATGCTAGAGTTCATCTCAATTCTTATTGCTCAAAATAAAATAATGAGTTGTGCGGTATATATATTATTTTGGAAATTATGCATAATTAATATACTGATGGTTGCAATCTGTCAATTTAGACTGAGGATAAATATGCTATGATATTTCTACTCTTCTAATATATATAATATTATTTTCCTCTTTAACTTTTTTTTTCCTCAGCAATAGACAAAATGATAACTCTCAATATCACATGTGGGTTTTTTTGTTTGTTTTTGTTTTGCTGTGGTTTTTTTACAACACCTCTGGGGAAAACATTGTGAATGTTTTCTTCCCCTTTTACAGAAAAGTCACTGAAAAGTGCCGATCAAAATAAAGTTAAAAGGTTTTGGGTAGCTACTCCAAGCTGTTTATGGCTGAATATTTTCAGTTTGTTGGCCATAACATGGTATTTGGTACTTTAGAAGTGGAGCAAAAAGGGCAGGACCTATCAATTTCACCTGCAGTTGTGTTTCTGAAAATACTTTGATTTCCTTCTGTAATTTGGAGCCCAGGGTCTCAAGGTAAGGGGTCTCCCGTAACGATAGGAAAGCAGATGTGAGCATGTGATCTGAGTTATCACAGATCACACTTTTTTATATTTTTATTTTTTAACCTCAATGTTAATGGTAACTTAGAATGAAAGGTAGGCACATGGTATCACATATTTTCAGTAAGGCAGCGGGACCTCTTGGTTTGTTGATGGATAGAAAACACCATGCCTACTTTAATCTGTTTAATCTCTTTTAATCTGTAATCAAAAATGTTAACATATATGCTGAAAGTCATGTGACTTACTTCACTGCCTCTTATGGAATTAAATGAGGTCTTTAAGAAGTGCACAATGTGTTGAGGGATTTGGCTTAGATTTCACAGATTAAAGGGCCTATCCCAAAGTCGGTGGGAATTATTCCAACTCAGTTTGGAGGGAGAAGAGTTTAAAGAGTTTAAATGCATACTACAGAGACATAATTAGACTTAAATTATTATCTTTGTGGTGCAAAGGAAATCACAAAATATAGATTTGCATGCAACTCTTGTGTCTTTTCATTTTCATCCTTAATACTTGCTAAATAATTTGATGAATCTCCTCACTCTTCAGTATTGAAAGTAATTGAAACCAGAAATAGAACATCATGATGAATATGACAAGGTGAGGGGAAGGTGATTGTGTATATACCTCACATGTACTGAAGTGAAATATCACAACTGTAAATTTCTTGCGTAATTTTGTGTTATCTGTTTGAAGATTTGTCACTAGTCCAAATCTATTTCTGATTTTCTAATTTCTGTTCAAATAGTTGGAGAGATGTTCATTTTTTCTTTATAGTACGTTATGACACATGCCACAAGACACCACAGATTATACAAATAAATGAAGTTAGAGAGATGTACAGGCTACTCCATGATATATCTCATATATAATATATATAATTTCATTTGGATGTCATCCTCATTAGTATTTAGGTCATAGTAATGTAGCTGAGGTTGCTATTACTGGAAATATGCATTAAAGAGGAGAGAAAAAGAGTAAGGGTCATCTCTTGAAAAAAAGAATGAGCTCCACATTCATATATTTGCTGAAGCAGCCTCTGCAATGCTGCTTAGGAATGTAAGGGTTGTGGAAGATGGGAGGATTGGGAAACTTTTTAGGTTCAGCTGGGAAACTATTAGGAGTAAGAAAGCCAACTAATTCTTTTGCCTTTGTTGCTCATGTGATTGTGCTCTGAATTTGTTCTGATTTGGATAGATATTTTCCCCAAAAGAAGTGTTTCTAGATACCAAGCCAGACTGTGGCATGCACACATACCTTGTTCTGCAAGATATAGATAGCTTGGAAGTTCAATCAAAGCAGCAGCAGAGTGAGCATGATGAAATGATTCCTTTTCCCTTCCCCTTTCACCTTTATTGAACATCTGTCTTGCAGAATTTCCATGGCAGAGGACTTGCCAGGCTCAAGCTCCTCCTCTTACAAAGCAGGACATCATGTAGTCCTGCATATGAGGGCGGTGAACACTCTTGAGTAACCACCAAGTAGCTGGGAGAATTGTAGAGTTAGATTGCAAATCGGGCTAAGTTGAACTTTTTCAATGTTGCTTCCTGAAAAGAACATTATGTTCCTACCGTCAGTTAAAAAAAAAAAAAACACATAGGACTGCTGAGCTTTTAAATTGTTACTGGGCTGGCTTGCTAAAAGCTTCTGATACATGACTAGAGGCTACAGCCTGCAATCTGACATAGCTTCCTTGATTTATTTCTTCTTCTTTCTATGGCAGTTTTCCTTAGCTTTCTAAATTCTTCCTAACACAATGTTCATTACTTCTCTTGAAGAATAGCTTTGATAACTTGCCCTATCAGGGTAATACTTCAAAGCAATCTTAGAAAAAGTGGTTCTAATCGTAAGCTAAGGATAGTTTGCGCTTCATTTAAGTTCTGGAATATAGTGGTCTTTTCCTTGTTATTTACTAATTTCTGAAGTGTGTGGTAGTATTGAATGTATGTTCTATATAAACAGGAGATCACACTTTTTTATCCACTTATTTACAAATTTTATGAATCTTTCTGCACAATATTATCTGATATTGATGGATTTACTGGAAGAAAATTCTGTTGTCAATAATGTTCATACATTCCCAGAGGTAGTAAAGTCTGTCAGTTTAATACAGCAGATAAGCTGTCTACTATATTCTCAGAGGTAATGACTTTAAAGGCTGATTCTGTAGGTTTTTTTTTTTTTTTTAAGGTGCTGGCTGGTGTTAAAGAAATTGATTACATAAGCTTTTGTGTAACAAGGCCTATGTTTGAGAGGAAAAAAAAAACTGTTCAGCTGTCATATTTAAGTCTTTGACCATTTCTAAAGCCACTACTGCTGCAACCCTACTGTTATGTAGCAGGAGTGTCTGCAGGAAAGCAAAAGAGGCTGTGAATTAGTTCGAAATAAGAGAGGGCATGGGCTTCTCCACATAAAATTGTCTATGGGTAGTTTTCTGGTCGCTGATTAACTTTTTATGGTGGTGGTAATGATTCTGTTTTGAACCTCTGCGTTTAAAATATTCCGAGACATGTCTATGAAACACAGTTTTGGTCCACCTTACTGTCAGGTTACACATTAATGTACATACAAGCACAAGCAACTTTGCATTCCAGGGCCAAAACACATACAAAAATATTCCACATTCTCACACTGCAGCATTGTGCCTGCTTACAAAGAAATTCCTCTGGATTTTAGATATATCACTGAAAATCTTGCTGCAAGAACCATGAATGATTTTGCATAAAATTCTTAACAAAAACATGATTAAGCTCGTAGTTTATGTGAACTGGATAGTGAATAAATGGTCCTTATTGGCAACTGCTAATTCAGCCAAATACAATGGAAAAAAAAGAGTTAGCATCAACTTATGCCTCTGTATTTGTAGGTCGGTATGTTAAATGAATCCTACATTACCTTTGATCTTTAAGAAGTTCCAATTCCTTGACCTCTGACTTTCTTTTTGCCTTTTTCTTCTTGGTGGCTGATGTAGAATCATGTTTCTTGAATTTTCTATCACTAAGTTTACTTGATCAAATAAATACTGGAGAATGAGGTGGAATGAGGAGCATTTTAAATTATTGACTTGGCAAACCAAAAAGAATACAAATGACTGTTACAGGGATGACAAAGCAAAATATTTACATATAGGGAAATTTTTATCCTTTAGAGGGAGGGAGGAGGGCTCTTGGGGCAGGTTCTTTTTTTGTTTTGTTTTTTTGCAAGTCTAGATTCAATAATAATGCAACACATGAGAGGAAGTAAGGAAATAACTTGTACTTTTTTAAAAATATGAACAAACTGAGTATTTTTTTTAGGTTAAACACAGACACTACCTTGATTTGCCTTCTCTTTGCCAACTTTCAAGTTTCTGAATTGCAGGTAGCAGAGGACCTTGTTAACCAGTTACACTTGGGTGCCCATGTTGACAAACTGGTGAGGACATACAGCTGTGGCACGAAGCGGAAGCTCTCTGCTGCTGTGGCTTTAGTTGGCAAACCTCAAATACTTTTATTGGTGAGTAAAGGCAACTCTATGGCTACTTTGGGAGAGTCTTAAGCAAGCACAGATACAACTATAATATCCTGTGGACCCATATAGATGCTTTTAAAAATTAAGTTTTCTTTATACAGAAAATAGAAATATCATTTACTGTAAAATACAGTAAAGTATTATGTATTATTTGTGTATTATGTATTCCTTATTGTGAACATAGCATAATATATACAATATATATTAATATATATAATAAATACATAAAATAATATATATAATACATATAAAAATTTAAATGTTTATACTAAATATGTAAATGTGTATTTACATATATAATAATGTAATAACATAATATAAATATGTAAATATAAAATATGTAAATAATGTAATAATGTAAATACAATATATTACTGTGACTGTAACATAATAAATATATACAAGTCAACAATTCTACCGTCTTCCTCACCAAAAGATTTTGATTTTAATAATTTGTGCTGCAGTTTTTAATTAATAGGCTGTCTTTATCACGAAATGTATGCTACGTTTGCTATATATTACATGTTTGCTGCATGTCAAGCTCCATACATTTGAATGTTTTTTATATTTTCACTTTATATGCAAATCTTGCCCCTAACTAAAAAGTCCTGAATGGGGATATATTATCATATGCTGTCTTGGTGTGTACATCCTGCTATTCCAAAATATGAACTCATTTAGGCCAGTTAAACTTTATGGTTAAAACAACACCTTTTGTATTGAAGATTAGGGAAATATGGTACTATGGGAGTTGTATCATTATTATGCTATATCTTCTTTCTTATCATTGCACACAGTTCACTAGAAAAGATTGAAAATATATTTCTTAAGCCTTGGATGGGAAGAACTAAATCAGTTCGATGGTGAAATAAACCTTCCAGAACTCCCAAATAGAGGTGGTTCTTATTCTCCAAAGTCAAGAGGGAAAACAGTATTTCAAGATCAAGATAACCACAGATTAAGTGGAACTGGATGAAATCTGTATTCTCATGAGATTCACATTTCTGAAGTTGGTGTCTGAAAAACAGATTTTCCTGCTTCTAACTTCTTCACTTTCCTTAACTTGAGAGTTACGTTAACTCTTAAACTTAACCTCACTTCTAAGTTGAACGATTTTGTTTGCATTTTTTTTTTTGCTTAAACTGATCCTGCTTCAGTTAGTAGAAGATGATAATCTTAAATCAGCGCTTTTTCCTCATCTTAGAAAATGCTTCCAGTGTTTTGTAATGTTTTTAGGACATGCTACTTGAAGTAGCCATCTCAGCTCACTTGCTGCAAGGCACGCATTAATACACATATAATGACAAGAGGAAATAAAATACCAAAATATGTCAGTGGTTTTAAAGATTTAGGTGATTTTGCAAAGCTGTGAAATTGTAAGGATGTTTTTCATTATTTTGAAGGATTTGCTTTGTCTGAGATTCATCAGCACTAACATAAACCTCTGAATGCTTCCATCTTGCATTTAGGATCTCCTAACTTTAAATTTAGGTTACAGGAGGTGACAAGATTTTTGTTTGTTTGTTTTCTAATTATCTTGGTTGCTTTTTCCCAGTATTTTATCAGATCTCTTCATGTAATAAAAAAATGAATTTAATTTGTTTTCTCCTTGGCCATTGGTTGCTAAGCATCAGAATTGGTATTAAACAGGATGCTCCGTTCCTTGACAACTCTTTTTTAGAGGCTTCAGCTAGGATTCTGTGGTGCAAAATACACCAACCAGGCCCATACCATTGTAACAAATGTTGGTGCTCCTCCTGTAATTCTATGTTTTTAGAAGCATCTTGAAGAGTTTCCTTCTCTTTAGGTGTGAAGAGCCAAAGAATGGCTTTTGACAGTGAAGTATCATTCGCTTTGCTTCCACGAACAGACAAAGTCAACAGTTATTTTAGTGAGGATGCCATGATTAGATGGGATAGGGAAATGAAGTTTTGTAGCTGCACTTCTCTGCCCATGGAAGCCATGGGAGCTAGAAATGGGAGAAGTCGAAAGGTTGCATGAGTCCACTAACTGGATTGGGTTTTTCTAACCACAAATGAGGATTGCTCTTAAAGGGGAGGTTTGGGAGCAACTGCTGGGGGATTTTTTAAATCCAAACATACCCACCATAGCTGGGTATAGTATGGGTGGTGGCAAGCAGCCTTGAATTTATAGGATGTTCATGTACATACATGGCAGACATGCACATAGGTGGGAAGAAACATCAACCCCAGCCCCCAAGGTGAAAAAAGAAACTGCGAATCTCTCCTACAAAAATGTATGAAAATGTTTGAATAAAAATGTACACTTTTAATTTAAAAATAAATCTAGAGAAAAAAAAAAGAGAGAAAAAGAGTGCTTTTTAAGTGATCTCCTGAAATCTGACCCTTTTTAGAGAAAAATACATGTATTTACTATGAGTTCTTTTAATTCTTCATGCTGGGCTTGACCCCATGGTATGTTTTTCCTATGATTAATTACAGTATTATTTTTTTCTTTTTTTTTGTAGGATGAGCCCAGTTCTGGTATGGATCCCTGCTCTAAACGCTACCTTTGGAAAACTATCCTGAAGGAAGTTCAAGATGGTTGTGCCGCTGTGCTGACATCACACAGGTGAGATCCCTTATCCTAACAACCAGCATAGTCCTTCTTTCTCTGCTTGCCCTTGTTGACTGAGGGCAGAAGAGCATATTCTGGAGGTATGCTGGCTGTGAAACTCAAGAGGTATCTCACTGTTTCATGGCCTTCCTTCTTGCTTATGAACTGAGCTGGCATGAAATTGTGGTTGCCCACTTTACAAACCTTTCAAAGAAACACTGGGAGGGGAAAACGCCTGTTCTTGCTTTTTCAAAGGTCTGGTTTGTATCAGGATATGAAAGTATTATGCCATGATATCTTAGAGACAGATACAATAGAAATTCTCTGTTCAATTGCTAAGAATGCACTGTTCAATTGCTAAGAATGACTGTATCTTCTTGAAAGAGTGGATCTGCATTAAATATCTTGTCAATTCTCTAATATGGTCATATTGGTCAGCTGCCTCAGTTTAAAGAAGGAAACGCTGAAACTGTTTTGCAACATATAAATGGAATAAATTACATGTTCTCTGTAGAGAATATAGTCTAGTATAATTATATACAAGATGGCTTTAGTTGAGGGAGAGATCCTGAAGATATGCCTGGAAGGGACAGAACTAACTAATCAAAACAGGAATGTAGCATTTTGGCCAAATGAAATGGGAGGTAGTGGATAAAATAATATACAAGAATGCAATAAAATATTCTGTTAATACAGATATTGTTAAATTTTTCAGATGTTGTCAAAATGTGCTTCTTGTTCCTGAGCATGTTTGTATTTCCCTTCCTTCCATGTCTGTGCACTGGCCCTAGGCCCTAACCCCTAGCCCTAACCCTAGGCCTTAACCCTAGGCCCTAGCTCTGGTCCTAGGCGGTAGGCCCTAACCCTAGGCCCTAACCCTAACTGTAGGCCCTAACCCTAGGCCCTAGCCCTAACTGTAGGCCCTAACCCTAGGCCCTAGCCCTAACTGTAGGCCCTAACCCTAGGCCCTAGCTCTGACCCTGGACCTAGGCCCTAACCCTAGGCCCTAACCCTAGGCCCTAACCCTAGGCCCTAACCCTAGGCCCTAACCCTAGGCCTAACCCTAACACTAGCCTCTAGCTCTAGCCCCTAACCCTACCCCTGGCCCTAGCCCCTGGCCCTAACCCCTAGCCCTAACCCCTAGCCCTAATCCCTAACCCATACCCATAATCCTAGCTCTAAACCCTAATCCTAACCCTATTCCTATTTCTTCAGTATTGCTGAACCTATTGCCTAACCTATTTCTATAGTATTGCTGGAAGAAATGCTCTCAAAAATGTTGACTCAAAATCACATAGGTATTTAAAATATATATTATACATGAACCCTGGGTGTTTACCAGGTCTTTCAATTCAGGAACAGAAGTTATACAATGTGGGCTATATTGAGCTGTCTTCAGAAACAGTGTGCTTTGACTTTTCAGTCCAGATTAAGAACCGTCTAGTGTCAAAAAGCAGCTAAACAGAATGTAATTGTGATTTCACTACCAATATGTTGTAACAAGAAATAAACTAAATCTGTCGAATAAATTCTTACTAATTGCTCATTTAGCTTGACAAATGAATGACTTGCAGCTGAAACAGTTATAATGGTAGTGTAGCAGTCCACATAGATTTCATTTCTAATTAATAAGATCTTCTTGTGCCAGGTGTGTTGAAGGAGAGATTATTTTGTATATGCTGAAGGCTGTTGCAGATATCTAAGATGCTTTCAAACTATAGAATCATAGAATTGTTAAGGTTGGAAGGGACCTCTAGAGGTCATCTAGTACAACCCCCCCTGCACTCGCAGGGTCACCTAGAGCACGTGGCACAGGACTGTGTCCAAGCGGGTTTTGAAGATCTCCAGAGAAGAAGATTCCACCACCTCTCTGGGCAGCCTGTTCCAGTGCTCTGTCACCCTCACTGTCAAGAATTTTTTCCTTAAGTTCCTGTGGAACTTTTGACGCTTCAGTTTCCAGCCGTTTCCTCTAGTTCTGTCGGTGA